GATCCTTATATATCACCTTGCACCAGAATCAACTCCAAATGGATCAAAGACCTCGAGTCAAAGCAGACACTCTGAAAACATTACAGGATGGAATAGGAGAAACCCTAGGTCTCCTTGGCACAGGCCGAAATTTTCTTAATAGAGACCCAGAAACACAACAAATCAAAGAAAGGTTGGACAAATGGGATTGCATGAAATTGCAGAGCTTCTGCATGCAAAGGACATAGCTAGCAAGATCAATAGAAAGCCCACGGATTGGGAGAAGATCTTCACTAGCCATACAACGGACAAGGGTCTCATATCTAAAATATACCTGGAACTCAAAAAATTAAATCCCCCAACAACAAATCTTCAAAGAAACAACTGCCCAATAAGTAAGTGGGCTAAAAAAGAGAAACTTCTCTGAAGAGGAAAGAAGGATGGCCAATAGACACATGAAGAAATGCTCAACCTCCCTAGCCATAAAAGAAATGCAAATCAAAACTACATTGAGATACCACCTCACTTCAGTTAGAATGGCTAAAATCAAGAACTCTAATAACAACAGATGCTGGAGAGTATGTGGTCAGAAGGGAACCTTACTGCATTGTTGGTGGGAATGTAAACTTGTTCAACCACTTTGGAAAGCACTATGGAAGTTCCTCAAAAGACTCCACATAGAGCTCCCCTATGATCCAGCAATCCCACTTTTGGGCATTTACCCAAATGATCACAAACAAGGCCACACTAAAGCTACCAACACAACTATGTTTATTGCAGCATTATTTACCATAGCTAAGATATGGAACCAACCTAGATGCCTCTCAGTAGATGAATGGATCAAGAAAATGTGGTATATATACACAATGGAATTCTATGCCTCCATCAGAAAGAATGGCATTGCCCTATTTGTTAGGAAATGGAAAGGCTTGGAAAAAATTATATTAAGTGAACTAAGACAGGCCCAAAGAAACATAGGTCCCATGGTTTCCCTTATTTGCAATATCTAGTGTATATATCTGAGTCAAGCAGAGAAGGTGATGTTAGGGAAATGAACCCTAAGATATGTATTCAAATTGTTTTTTTTTCTTTCACGAGATTGTTTCTAACACATTTATAAGATTATTTCTTTGTTGCTTTGTATGTCACTCCCCCACACTATAAGCCCTGCTTTCACTGTATTTGATGTCAGTATAATTTGTGGAAGGGAAGGGGAAAAACAAATCGTTTAAATAGGGATACAGGTGGACCCATTGCAACAATGAGATGTACAAGTCATTATGTCGAAAACGAACTTTACAACTTTGGTAGGGGGGATGTGTTTGGGGGGAGAGGATTGGGTGGAGGGGTAGGGGGAGGATGGGATGGGAAGGGGAAACAAAGGAGGAGGCTACAATGCTTGATAAGAAATGTACTCATTATCTTACCCAAGTAATTGTAACCCCTCTGTACAGTATTTTCACAATAAAAAAATGATTATTTTCAAAAAATACTGGTGTTCTAGAGGATTAAAAGTGAAATAATACACAATAATTAGTAGCAGACATTTGACAAATGCATCATTTTTATGACTTCCAGGAAATAATCACCCTTGAGAAAAAGAAGAGTTGTAGTACAATACAAAGAGGGTTGAATGATAAAGTTAGTCTTGATCTAACATCTCACACTGAAGTTCTCTGATAGTGAAGACTGCAGCCTTTTAGGGGTTCTTGATGATCCTATTCTGATGCCTCCAGGTGGACAATATGGGCAGTGGTTAGCAGCAAGTGGTGTTTGTATTTTCAGCTGGGGGGCTTGAATCCACAGGTGCATATTTGTGGGTTGTTCTGTAGTGTCAGTTTTTGACACTGGATGAAAGAAGATCTGATTGTTACTCAACAGACATGAACCCAGAGACAAGGATGTGATTTGGTGTAGAGAGAGTGTGGCTGACCTGGCCTATGGGTAGATCCCTTCCCTCAAGACACTGGCATCCCCAGTGGGGACCTGCAAATAAGTCAACAAATACTAAACAAGTGTTTGTTGTGACACGTCCTCTGAAGCAAATATGGTATCACTAAGACTTGGACTGATTGTCTCTGAGAAGATGATGCTTTATTTGAGATTTTTGTAACAGGAAGAACTCAAACACATATGGATTTCTGTACAGAGTTACAGAGAAATGCAGCAGTAAACAGCAATGATGAAATGTGTTCAAAGGGGTAGAGCGCTAGCCTTGAGCTGAAGAGCTGAGGGACCGTGCCCAGACCCAGAGTTCAGGCCCCACGACCGGGCCCCCCCCCCAAAAAAAGAAATGTGTTCAAAGGCACAGACAGGGAGCAAGCTTGGTAACTCCTTCAAAAGGAGGCTAGCGTGGCAGACTCAGCACATGTAGAAAAGACGGGGTCAAATCCGAGGCAGAGTTCTCCAGGGCACATCTCCAGGTGCCCCTCATTTTGTTCTAAAGGCCCGTAGGCCCTAGGTATTCTTAAACATGGGAATGTGGAACCTAATATACTTTTATAACATTGTCTCTGGTTGTTAAAAATCGATGACAACCAAGCAGAAGTACCACGGTGAGAATTCATGACTTGGCTAGGGAAGTAGCAATGGAAAGGGTGCATGGTTGGTGAATTTGGGAATACTCAAATACAGGCAACTATCCAAACCGAAAGGACGACCTGCCTTTGTAACAGGGAGAGTTGATGAAACTTGGTAGGTTGGCCATTACCAGGGAAGAAATGAAGGACTTACGGATGAGGCAGAGACTTGAAACCTAACTTCTCAGGAGATAATGGTGCTATTACTGAGTTAGAGGAGTTTGGGGAAGGAGCAAGTTTGGAAGACATGTAAGAATTGGAGTTTTTGCTTGGACTTGACTGAGGAAAGAGAATGGATAAAATTACTCTGTTGATTGGAAATGGGTAGATTTTGTACTCACACATCTACAAACATGAGCCAAAATAAATCCATCATCCCTTGAATGGTTTATATCTGTTGATTGGAAATGAGTAGATTTTGTACTCACACATGTACAAACATGAGCCAAAATAAATCTGTTACCCCTTCAGTGGCTTATGTCAGATTTTTTTTTTTGTCATAGCAAGGCAAAATCTGAGTAAGACAGAAAAATAGTAAGATAGAAAAGGGAAGTCATTACGGTGACTAACCTGACAGGCAGCTTTTCAGACTTGAGTACTGATGTACAGGAATAATTTATAAACATCTGGATAACCAGACTAAGAAATTCTGAAATGAAATAAGCAGAGCTTCATGGATTATTCTTATTAGAGATCAAACCAGAATACTGATGAGTGATGGATGGTGAAGATTATGTACAAGAGGCTCTAGCACAAAAGCTCAGAGACAAGGGCCAAGGCCCTGAGTGCAAGCCTTTGGACAGACAAAGAAGGAAGATGGGAAGGAGAGGAGGAGGTGGAGAAGAGGAGGAGGAGGCGGAGGAGGATGTCAGCAACAACAACAATAAAGAATAGCAGCAGCAGCCAAAACAACCCTTGAGGCCACTCAGAAGCCAGGAGTGCCCTTGAGGCCACTCAGGAATGGGCCACACTCCACCCAAGGGTCATCCAAGTATAAACACATTGAAAGACTTTCCCTTGAGAACAGGGCACTGCTGGGGCCCCGTATCCTCATCAGGCTTTCCATGTTCACTTGCCCAAGCGCTCAGAAGCCATAGTGGCTATGGCCCCAACAGGTGTGACTACAGCTCTGGCTAACGGCAGGCTTAGGTGGTGTTGGTCATGGGATACTGGTTTTGCAGGCATGCTGAATGCAAGTTACAGGATCATGAAGGCAAGGAAGCCTAGGCAATAATACGTACCAGGGAGATGGAATTAATGAGAGGGTAAAGCACACTGCACAAGAGGCAGTTAGAGAGACAAGGAAGTTGGAGATGTCAGTAATGTGGAATTCTTGGCAAGAAAGCCACAAGCAGCAAGGAGAGGGACCCCGAGGAGTGATGCTGTATGATGCTGGATAAGGCCACGGAGACAGGACTGCCCAAGGCCATTGCGCCTCACCTCATGCACCCATGCTGGTGTGTAGACACAGGATCAAATGTTTCCCTGCTGGATTCCAGCCTTGCTTTGTCATCCCTTTCTGTATCTCAACTTCGCTCATTTGGAATGGGAATGTATACTCTGTATCCTTTGATCTTGGAAGTCTGTTACTTACTTTTTGCTTCCTAGAGACTGTAAGCTACAAGTATGCCCCAGTGCTTGAAGCATCTTAGTGCTTCGACATTTGAACACCATTGGACCTAGGAAGACTTCAGAGATGCTTAGAGATGGATTAAATGCATTTTGGATTATTACACAGACACGACTCTTTGGGGCCATGGACAAAATGTGATGAATTGAAAACAAACTGTCAACGCTAGGCCCACATTGTAAGCTGAGTTCCCAGCATGAGCTACTGTCTATGGAGATGATGTGGTTTCATCGAAGCAAAGCAAGGCAGAACACAGAAAGGAAACCACACTACAAAGAAGTGAAATGAAGTTAGCTGTGCTCATATGTAATGATGTGGCTGTTCAGTGTAGCTGGGGCGTTTCCCTGAGATTATTACGAAGGGATGCTTCACTTTCTGTGCACATGTCCAGCAGCCAACCCTGTTCACCATGCCATCGGTGGCTCACCTCAGTGGCCCTCTCTTAGTATGGCAGCCTAAGCAAAGGGGTTGGGATTGTTTCCTAACCATGGGAGCTAGGAAAGATGCTTTCTGTCCCAGCTCCAATGTGTTCCACTGAAGAGCTGCCAGAGCAGACGCAGAGCCTTCCATGCTGAGAGCCAGGGCCCAGCTACCCTCCCTTGCTGTAGAGTCTGTACCCTGGCTCTCTCTGCAGGCTCTGTGTGGTTAGTGATGCAGGGCAGGAGGTGGTGTGCAGGCTGTGTGCCCCTGCTGCTCTACAGGCCTGTCCTGACCCCACCCCCTTCCTGGCCAATAATCTCGTTTCCTCTAGAGGTCTTTGCTTCCTGTTTTCGAATATCTGCACCTCAGAGCCAGAGAGGTCTGAGGAAAGGAGCAATCCACAGTCCTGGGCTCTGTCCACACTCCGCGTTACTTCTACACCTCTCCTCCTGCCAGCTCTGCAGCTTCAGATGTCTCAGAGTCCTACTGAAAGAGAAAAAAGAATCTAAGCAGTATAGAGGAGTGAGTACCATTCATCCCTATTCCTGCATTTTCCTTGCTCTTTCTATCACTCCTTCCTTGTAATAGCAATCCCTCTTACCTCAACCCCTCATCCTCCAATCCTTCCTTTCCTCCTCCCATGTTGTCATCCTCATATCTTCCATGCCTCATTCTCTCATCCCCATTCTCTTGTCTCTCCGTCTTCTGACTCTGTCATCCTTCCTTCGGACCCGTCTTCCATTTTCTGTAATCCCATCCCTCTTTTCCCATTATCCTTCCTAAGCACAGAAATTCTCTCTGCTCACTTCTTTTTTCATATTTTACCCATTTTCACATCTCAAACTTTCTCTCCTGGGCTTTATCTACCACCTAATCCCTTTCCCTTACCTTCTTCCAATACCATCAATTGGATAATGTTCTGGAGTTAACAACTCTGGGTTGTGAATGGTGCGTAGGAGTTTACCAGGCCAAGAGAAACAATCTCAGTGAGAACCTTGCAATGAGTGACTGGAGAGAGAAGAAATCAGCAACACTCAGATAGTCTAATTTCTCTTCACTATGGAATCCCCATTCATATCCTCAAATCCACCCTTCCAGGAGCAGACATGGCTGGTAGATCCTATCGTAGCTCTGCTCCATTACTTGATCCATCAGAAGATGAAGAAGAAATAGAAGAAGGAGAAAATGGAACAGCTTCAGTTTCAGCTGCTCGATCCAGCATGGGTGAAGAGAGCATCTGGCCCCAGCTCAGCTCAGTGAGAGAAGGTGAGTGGTACAAATGTGTCCTCATGCCTGGTGGCTCAGGATGGTCATCAGCAGACTTAGACCCAGACTCCTTACACATTGGGTAGATGTGGTTATGTGTCCAAGCCCAGGCAGAGACACAATTCATGCACAATTGATATCAAACAAGAAAACCAAGGCACCTATCCCAATGTGTTCCACCAAAGAGCTGCCCTGGCAGACACAGAGCCTTCACATCCCGAGAACCAGCCCTCCCTTGCTGCAGAGTCTGTGCCCTGGATCTCTCTGCAGACTCTGTGTGGTTCGTGAGACAGGGCAGGAAGTGGTGTGCTAGCTGTGTGCCCTGCTGCTCTACAGGCCTGTCCTGACCCCTCCCTTCCCTGGCCAGTAATCTCCTGTTTCCTCTAGAGTTCGACTTTCCTGTATTCAAATATCTGTGTCTCAGAGCCAGAGTGCTGAGAAAACCCGCAATGTGCAGTCCTGGGCTCTCACCTGGGCTCTTAGGCCACGCTCAGTGTTGCTTCTCTCACAGCTCTCCTCCTGTCAGTGCTGTGGCTCCCAATATCCTGAGTCCTACCGAAACAGAAGGAAGAATCTGAGCAGTCAGAAGAATGATATGCCTCATCACCCTTTCCAGCATTCACCTCGCTCTTTCTTTCTGTCTTTCCATCCTCCTGATGCCATCCCCCCTCACCTCAACCCCTCATCCTCCAGTCCATCCTTTGCCTCCCAAGTTGTCATCCTCATGTCTTCCATGGTCCCCATACCTCATCCTCTCATCCACATTTTCTTGTCCCTCCATCTTCCTATTCTCATCCTTCTGTCCCACCATTCTTCCAGCTTCTTTTATCCCATTCTTCTTCCATTATCCTTCCTAAGCACAGTTGTCCTCTCTGCTCCCTCCTTCCCATATTTTTACCCATTTCCACACCTCAAAATCTTGGCTTTTTCTCCCACCTAATACCTTTCCCTTCCCTTTTCCCCACATCATCAATTGGCTGATGCTTTGGAACTGACAATGCTGAGTTTTTAAATTTATTTTATTGTTATTATAAAGATGATGTGCAGAGGGGCTACAGTTACATAAGTGAAGTAATGAGTACATTCCTTTTGAACAGTGTCATCTTTTCTCTTGTTTTCTCCCAGTTTTCCCTCACTTCCCCATCCCCTACAAGTTGTATAGTTCATTGTCTAATAAGTATCACTGCTGAATTAGTTCATCCTTTGTCCCATCATTTCTGTGCTTCCCATTACCCTTTCCAAATTAGATAAACTTACATACAAGACAAAGGGTAAAGAAATCAAAAGCAGTGACAAAAGGGGAAAAACAGAAGAAAAAACACCTCTTGTTTCCATTTCTTGGAATTCATTTGATAAACATCATTTTATATAATCATATATACATAAACGTTAAGCTCCTGTGATACTCTCCTACAAATATCCTCCTTTGGTTTCACTGTGTGAATGTTGGGAGTTCTGCTTAATGCCCAAGTGTAATTTTTTGTTTTTTCACCATCCATTATGTTTACTTATAGATTTATAGGCACATTCTTGGTAGAAGGTCTTTACTAGCTATGCATCAGACAAGTGCCTCATATCTAAAATGTACTTAGAGCTCAAAAATTAAGCCATCCCCCGCAAACAAAACCTCAAAAAAAACCAATTACTAAATGGGCTAAAAACTCAGAAGAAATAGTAAGAATGGCCAATAGACACATGAAGAGATGTTCAACATCTGGTCATGAAAGAAATGCAAATCAAAACAACATTGAGATTCCACCTCACCTTAGTTAGAATGGCCATTATCAAGAAAACTAACATTAACAGATGCTGGCAGGGATGTGGCCAAAATGGAATGTTACTACACTGTTGGTGGAGATGTGAACTTGTTCAACCACTTTGGAAAGCAGTGTGAAGTGTAAACTTGTTCAACCACTCTGGAAAACAGTATAGAGGTTCCTCAAAAGACTACACAAAGAGTTCCTCTATGACCCAGCAATCCCACTTTGGGGCATTTACCCAAATGATCACAAACAAGGCCATACTAAAGCTACCAGCACAGCTATGTTTATCGCAGTATTATTCGCCACAGCTAAGATATAGAACCAACCCAGATGCCACTCAGTAGATGAGTGGATCAAGAAAATGTGATATATATATGTATATATATACATACATATATATATACATACATGCATACATGTACACACACATACACAAACATACATATAGTGGAATTCTATGCTTCCATCAGAAAGAATGACACTGCCCCACTTGTTAGGAAATGAAAAGGCAAAAAAAAAATCACATTAAGTGAAGTAACCCAGTCCCAAAGAAATTTAAGTACCAAGGTTTCTGTTATTTGCAATAGCTAGTATACATATAGGATAATCTTTTGAGCTGAAGAGCTCAAAAGCCATGCACATATGACCATATAAGGTGTTGCTAAGTGAAATGAACCCCAAGATATGGACACAGGATGTATGTCTTTATTCTTACTGTTTTAAATGTACTATGTGATTTTTCTGTTGTTGCTATTTCCTTTGTATGTTCTTTCCCCTATGGCATATCCCCTGTTGTCACTGTACTTGATTTTGGTCCCCTGCATCTTGTATATACACTTGTCTGATCTGGGGAGGGGAAGGGGAATAACAAAACACTGAAACAAAGACACAGATAACCCATTGCAACAAGGATACTCACAAGACAGTATATTGGAAATGAACTTTACAACTTCAGGTGGGGGGGAAGTAGAGGTAGGAAGGGATAGTGGGACAACAAGGGAAGGGGTAACAAGTAATGTGTGACAAGTAATGTACTCATTGCCTTACTCATGTAAGTGTAATCCCTCTCTGTACAGCATCTTTGCAACAAAATAAAATTAAAAAAAAATAAATATAGAGCTTCTCTAAGGCCAGAAATCGCACTCCTGGGCATTTATCCAATTGACCACACACTAGGCCACATTGAAGTCACCAGCACAACCACGTTCATTGCAGAAGTAAATGCTGGGTTTTGAATGATAAATAAGAGTTTAGCAGGCCAAGAGAAATGATCTCAGTGAGAGCCTTGCAGTGACTGATTAGAGAGAGAAAAAAACAGCAACACTAAGGTCTTCTGATTCCCTTTTTCCTTCACTATGGAATCCCCATTCATATCCTCAAATCCACCCTTCTAGGAGCAGACATGGCTGGCAGAATGATCTGTATCTCGGCTCTATCGCATGATCTTACAGTAAAAGACAAAGGAGGAGGAGAAAATGAGACATTTTCAATTTCAGCTGCTCAATCAAGCATTCCTGAAAACATTGCCTGGTCTCTGCCCTGTTCAACAAGAAAAGGTGAGTGGTACGAATGTGTCCTCATGCCTGGTGGCTCAGGATGGTCATCAGCAGACTTAGACCCAGACTCCTTACACATTGGGTAGATGTGGTTGTGTGTCCAAGCCCAGGCAAAGGCACAATTCATGCACAGTTGATATCAAACAAGAAAACGAAGGCACCTATCCCAATGTGTTCCACTGAGGAACTGCCCTGGCAGACACAGGACCTTCCATCCTGAGAACCAGGGCCCAGCCACCCTCCCTTGCTGTAACATCCATGCCCTGGCTCTCTCTGCAGGTTCTGAGTGATGGTGATGCTGTAGTGTGCTGGCTGTGTGCCCCTGCTGCTCTACAAGCCTGTCCTGACTCCACCCCTTCACTGGCCATTGATTTCTGTTTCCTCTGGATGACTTGACTTTCCTGTTTTGAATATCTTGGCCCCAGAACAAGAGAGTTCAGAGGAGCATGCAATGGGCAGTACTGGGCTTTCTCCTGGGTTCTGAGACCATGTTCAGTGTTGCTTCTCCTATACCTCTCCTCCTGTCAGCACTGCTGCTCCCATTTTCCCAGCAATCCTACTGAAAAAGAAGAAAGAATCTGAGTAGTATAGAGGAGTGCTCCTCATTCCCTTTCCTCCATTCTCCTAGCTCTACATTTCTATCACTCCATCCTCCTGATAGCAACTCTCCTTACAACCCCTCATCCTTCAAACCATTCTTTCCTCCACCCATGTGGCCATCCTTATGTCTTCTGTGGACTCCATGCCTCATCCTCTCATCCATATTTTCTCATCCCTCCATTTTCCTATTATTCCATCCTTCCATCCTTTCTTTCTTCCATCCTGTCATGCCCCTTCCAATCCTCTTTTCCCATTATCCTTCCTAAGCACAGGAGTTCTCTCTGCTTACTCCTTTTCCATATTTTTATCCATTCCCAAATGCCAACTTAATCCCTGTCCCTTCCCTTCTTCCAATACCATCAATTGGCTGATTCTCTGGAGTTGACAATGCTGGGTTTAGAATGATGAAGTGGAGTTTACCAGGCTAAGAGAAATGATGTCAGTGAGAGCCTTGCAGTGAGTGATCATACAGAGTGGGAAACAGGCACACTTGGATCCTCTGATTTCCTTTTCCCTTCACTATTAACTCCCCATGAATATTCTCAAATATTCCCTGACAGGAGCACACATGGCTTTCAAAGCCTATCATTTTTCTACTTTATCCCCTGATATTATTAAAGAAGAAGAAAACATGGGAGGAGTTGGAGGAGATGAAAGAGGAGGAGGAGGAGGAGGAGGAGGAGGAGTTTTTGTTGGGGCTATTTCATCTTCAGCTGCTCAACTTAGCATTCCTGAAGAGAATGTGGGATCCCTGCCTGGCTTCATGAGTGGTGAGTGGCACAAAAGTGTCCTGGTGACCCAGGTTGGCGATCGGCAGACCAGGACCTGGTCCATCACTTCTCCATCAAATGAGCCAGATATTGTAGTGCACCCAAGCCCAGGCAGAGCCATCATCAATTCACTGTCCCTGTCAATAAGAAAAAAAAGCCCCCATTCATTCCCACTGTTTCTCCCCAAAGCAACACAGACCTCTCCTACCAGGCACTTCTCAGGCAGTGATGTAGACTGCTCTTTCAAGGGAGCAGTGAGTCACGACCCTATGCAGGATTTAGCAGGCTGACTGCAGGACCCTTAATAGATCCCAAACTCCACACCCTCTTTAAGGCCCCCATGTGATACCCCAAAATATGGATCTCAGAGGGGAGAGGCTGCCATTCTGAAGAGCACTGAGTGGGAATGCCCTGGGTTCAAGTGCAGCTCTCAAGAGGAGCACTTTTTGCTTTACCATACACTGCTGCCATGATGTGCTGTCTCAGGAGAGCCCCCAAAAGCAATGAGCCTGTCTGTTATAGACTCAAAGTTTCAAAACCATGAGCCAAAAGAAACATTTTCTCTTTTTAAGCTCATTATCTCAAGCATTGGTTACAGGGATGAGTTTGGTGTGTGCATATATGGGTGTATATGTGTGTGTGTGTGCACTGTGATTGCTACTATTTTTTTAAAAAACTAATTTAAAAATCTTGCTGCCTATAATTGGTCTTTGAGGACTATGGTTTGAAGTCATCCTGGACAGCAAAGTCTATGAGACTCTTACCTGAATTAAGCACCAAAAATCCAGAAGTGGCTCAAGTGGTAGAGCACCAGCCTTCAGTAACAACTAAAAAAGAGCATGAGGTACTAATTGCAAGCCTCAGAACTGACTTCTGTGTGCAGACATTAACCAAAAAAATCTCTCTGGGCGCCAGTGGCTCATGCCTGTAATCCTAATTACTCAAGATGCTAAGATCTGAGGATCGCTGTTCAAAGCCAGCCCGGGCAGGAAAGTCTGTGAAACTCTTATCTCCAATAAACCACCAGAAAACCGGAAGTGGTGCTGTAACTCAAGTGGTAGAGTGCTAGCCTTGAGCTGAAGAGCTGAGGGACAGCGCCCAGGTTCAGAGTTCAAGCCCCATGACCAACAACAAAAAAAAAATCTCAAGGTAACAAAATATAAGCATTTAATGAAGCTCTTATTATGATTTGCATTACTGGAAGGTGGAAGCTTATAGCCCCTCATGGAAGAGATAAGGCTCAGAGAGGGATAGAAATGACACAGAGGAGCCATGCAGAACCAGTGTGGGGACTCCCAGCAGCATCTGAGACCATCACTCTGCATGAGGCTGTCAGCGAGGAAGTGGAGGCTGGTCTCAGCTGAGGCCTAAATACTATGAAAAACCCCATCTTCAGTCCCTTTCCTCTACTTCCTTCTCCCTGCTGCCATGTCTCCTTGCCATAGCCCACTCTCCACCCCCACCTGGCTCAGCAATATTGAGTGCCTGAACCCTGAAGCCTTCAGACATCCCCAGAAATGAGACAGAGGAATTTAACAAGGCTGCCTGACACTTCTGAGCTTAACTAGAAGGCTGAGACCTTCTAGGCTGGGCTGAGACCCCTGGATTGAGAGTCATGCCAAAAAGTATACTTTTTGCATCCCCAAAAGTACACCTGGAGACCTGGGGTGGGAAACTGAAGAGGAAGGATACAGGGCCCAGGAATAAATCTTTCTTCCCCTGTGTCTCAGAATCCACATCTAAACCTTCTTTCCTAGGAGCTATCCCTTTACAGGTCACCTGCTGCGGACCGGCTCTGTCGGGACGACGGAGGACACCTAGTGGAGGAACTGGAATAGGTGGGGAGATGGCAAACAGACAACTCACACACAAGAGGAGTGGATGCTGAGTGGGATTTAATGCAGAGGATAACAAGCTTTTATAGCAAAAGTCTCCATGAGAAAGGGCAAAAGGTTACACAATCTTGCTGCAGGGCTTCATTCTTGGGTGGTCACCAGCTGGTCGCCTGATAGGCACTTGTTTCCGGCTTTACCTCTATTTTTAAGAAATACAATGGGTTTCGATGTTTATCACCAATTAACCATTACTTTTTTCTATAGAGGCCTTAACTGTCCCATAAGATCTTTCCTGTTCCTTCTTTAATAGTAAACACCAAGGAGGCCTACATCTAGCAAGTCTCTTAGTAAATGAAAGAGAGTAGCAGGAAATTCTTCCTCCTAAATAGTTATCTCAGCAATTGCCATACATTCTTTCTGTTCTAGCCGCGCCTACAGCTTCTTGTAAATCTCTTACAAACAATTCCTTCTGCTGAAATGACGTCGTGAAACTCCCAATACTTTTATATTTACTTATGACTTGTCTACTAGCCTCCATAAGAGGGGCTTTCAGAGTAGCACTTAACTCTGGTGAGTTAGTCATATTTTTAAGACACTCATCAGATATTGGAGTCGTCAACACTCTTAAGAAAGAGCCTTGAATAAGGGAACGTTGAGCATGAGTAAGTACAATGAGCAGCAGAAACAGTAAAAGATTAATAGGCACTCCTATACAGTGAAGAAAAGAAAAACAAGAACAGAAACACATCTTTCCCAGGGGCTTGCCAGCCTTTCCAGGAGGTAGGCCTCTTTGAAGCCCCGTTCTCTGAGGTAGACTTCAGTGAAGTCCCATTCTCAGAGATAGGTCTCTGTGAAGCCCCATTCTCAGGTCTGAAAGCAGGTTTCCCATGCTAAGCAGACTCCACCGGAGTAGGCGTGGCAGTCACCTCCACTCCATAGTACAAAATTGGTACCCTTCAGGTTCTACGCAAAAATCCCCTTGCATAAAGATCTGAATAAAGATTCTATTGAGGTATCATCAGAGGGCTTAAGCTGCTCACCTCTCCTTACATCCCAATGGCACTCTTCTCTCCCTTGCTCTCTGCAATACCCAACATCACAGGCTTTTCTTTAAAACACAGAATAATTCTGCTCGGCCCACAGTTTGCACAGCCCAAGGTCCAGTGCCTTGAAGCATGGTGCCCAGCACTAAAGATACCACCTTCCCTGACACATAGGTGATTGTGTCATCAGAGCTCCTACCTTACCAGTAGATTCAACCACTGATGGCTTTGTAACCTGATAGCATTCTTGGCAGGTGGTACAAAGAGAGGGGGTGGGGCTTGGGTGGAGGTGGCAGAACATAAGGCCATGCCTTTGAAAGTTAAAGTCTCGCCCCCTTCCTGTCTCTCTCTGCTCCCTGGCTGAAATAAGTTGAGCATGTTCCTAGACCATACATTCTTGCTGCTGTCATATTTGGTCTCACCTAAGTCCAACACAACAAGGACATCTAACCCGAAATGTCAGAGACTATGATTCAAAAGAAGGCTTTCATTCTTTCAGAGTGTCTCTTTTAGGTGTTTCTCATAGCAACAGAGAATAACAGAGTTCAGAATGTATGTGTGAGGAAAAAGCCACTTACTCTAGTCACTTGTCTTCTGTCATTTCCCCCAATTTCTGCAGCCAGCAAATGATGTGGTTGGAATAGTGCCTAAATTCATTCTGCTGTTTAATGAATGAAATCAATTATAACATATATCTTTGCTTCCTCTTTTACTTAGGAACCAAAGAAAAGTTCCAGAATCTGAAGACAGAGGAGTCCAGCCCAGCACATTTCTGGAAAAATGAGGATTTGCAACAAAAATTCACCCAGCTGTTACTTTTAGAAAAACCTCATCTCAGAGGCCAGGAACTCCTCCCGAAGGAAAACTGGCATCAGAATGAAATGGAGGAAGTAGGACATTTAATTGACATTGGAGATTTATTTGGCCCAGGACCAAGTACCCAGGAAGAACCTCAAACAGTTATATTGTATGGACCTGCTGGAATTGGGAAGTCAACTCTGGCCAGGCAGGTGAAGGTAGCCTGGGAGGAAGGTCAGCTGTACAGGGACCACTTCCAGCACATCTTCTGCATCAGCTGCAAGGAGCTAGACCAACACAAGATGCTGAGTCTGGAAGAGGTCATCATGAAAGACTCATCTGGCCACCTCAAGGAGATTCTCACGAGGCCAGAGCAGCTGCTCTTCATCATCGATGGTGTGGATGAACTACCATTGTTTGCAGAGGGGATGGAATCATATCTTTGTCTGCACTGGAGCCAGCCTCAGCTGGTTCACACACTGGTGTGCAGTTTGCTGAGGAGAATCATGCTTCCTGAAGCTTCCTTGCTCATCACAGCTCAGACCACAGCTCTACAGAAGCTTATCCCTTTCTTAAAGCAGCCCCGTTGTGTGGAAGTCCTGGGCTTCTCTGAGTCCAGTAGGAAGGAGTATTTCTACAAGTATTTCTCAAAGGAGAGCCAAGCACTCAAAGCCTTTAGCTTGGTTGAATCAAACCCCGCACTATTGACTCTGTGTCTGGTGCCTTGGGTGTCGTGGCTGGTCTGCACATGCCTCAAGCAGCAGATGAAGCGGGGGGAGGACCTTCCACTCACCTCCCAGACCACCACAGCCCTCTGTCTGCACTACCTTGTCCAGACTCTCCCAGCTCAGCTCCTGGGAACCCAGATCAGGAAGATCTGCACTCTGGCTACTATGGGCATCTGGCAAAGCAAGACTTTGTTTAGTGTAGATGACCTCAGCAAGTGTGGAGTAGATAGGACCATCATTATCACTTTCTCAGAGATCAGTGTTCTTCAAAAACACAGCCAGTCTCAGTTCTACAGCTTCCTTCATTCTTGTTTCCAGGCATTCTTTGCAGCAATGTCTTTCATCTTGTGGGATGAGGAGGGGGGCATTGACTTGCCTGACTGTTTCACAGATATAATAAGATTAACACAAGGGGACAGAAGTTATCTGTTGGTGGCACCAACCATAAACTTCCTATTTGGTCTTTTAAGTGAACCGGTGGTAGATGTGCTGGAAAAGATCTTCACCTGCAAGTTTCATCGATTGAGGTTGTTGCACATGTGGGATTGGATCCAAGTGGAGAACCCTCTACAGCAGCCATATTCTGTGGAGATGTTTCACTTTCTATATGAGTCTCAGAATGAGCGAATCCTATCATCTGCACTAAGATGGGCTAATGAAACAAGGATATATATCCAGACAGATGTGGAGCTCTTGGTGGTCACTTTCTGCCTTAAGCTCTGCAGACACATGAAGAGGCTTCAGCTGAGTGAAGGTGGATGGCCAGGAGATGCAGGGAGGCCCTCTGGGGTAGTTCTGTGAGTATCCAAACCGGCCCTGCTCTCCTGTTCTTCTGTGGGTCCCATATGTTTCCAAAGCAGATCCCAGTGGATTCTTTTTTTTTTTCTTTTTCTTTTTTGTCGGTCCTGGGGATTGAACTCTGGGCCTGGGCGCTGTCCCTCACCTCTTCAGCTCAAGGCGAGTGCCTCTACCACTTGAGTCACAGTGCCACTTACAGTTTTTTAGTGGTTTATTGGAATTAAGACTCTCAGGGACTTTCCTGCCTGGGCTGGCTTTGAACTGCGATCCTCAGATCTCAGCATCCTGAGTAGCTAGGATTACAGGTGTGAGCCACCAGCGCCCGGCTACCAGTGGCTTCTAACTGTTCAAGGTAACTCCCATTGTCTTTCCTGAGGTCCTCTGAATGTGGGGCCATGGGGCTGGCCCTGCCTTGTACTGCTGTCCCTCCTCCCTGAGACTTTCCTGCTCAACCTGTCCTTGAACTGTGATTCTCAAATCCCAGCCTCTGGAGTAACTAAAGTTAGAGGGATGAACTGCCAGCATCTGGCTTTGTATTTAGATTGTTAAGGCAATTTTATATAACAAAATGTTCCTTGTAGATAATAAGAATATATCAATAAGCACAAGATATAGATATTTCTTATATAAATAAGCACAAGGTGAAAGTTAATATCACCCAAAATTCTATCATGAATGATTTGAAACATATCTATCTACTGTTTTTCCTATACATTTCTATGGGGAAATTGAGCTAGCCTTTACATTTTATCTTATAATCAGATTTATTTTCTTAGCATGTCAATGCTGGTACTGAGAAGTCTGACAGTTGTCTGTCTTTCTAGTTTGGTTACTATTTCTTTGTCTATGCAGAAACTTTTTATTTTAAGGTAGTCCCATTTGTCCAGTCTCTCTCCAATTTGCTGTGACCCTGGGACTCTGTTCAGGAAGTTCCTGCCCATGCCTATAAGTTCAAGTGTCTCTCCTACTCTGTCCTGCAGTAGTTTCAGAGTATCAGGTTTGATGTTAAGCTCTTTAATCCATTTTGAGTTGATCTTAATGCATAATGATAGGCTAGGGTCCACTTTCATTTTTCTACATGTGGCCACCCAGTTTTTCCAGCACCAATAGTTGAAGAGGTTATGATTCTTCTTTGGCTCCTTTGTCAAATATCAACTGACTGTACATATGTGGATTTATATCTGGGTCCTCTATCCTGTTCTATTGGTCTTTGGGTCTCTTTTTGTACCAGTACCAAGCTGTCTTTGTTATTATGGCTCTATAGTAGAGCTTGAAATTTGGTATCGTGATCCCTCCTGCATTGTTTCTTTTACCTAGAATTGCTTTGGCTATTCTAGGTCTTTTGTTGTTCCATAAGAACTTTTGGGCTGTTTTCTCTATTTCAGTAAAGTACGTCATTGGGATTTTAATGAGAATTGCATTGAACGTGTATATCAATCTTGGCACTATAGCCATTTTCATGATGTTAATTCTACCTATCCAGGAACATGGGAGATCTTTCCATTTCCTAGTATCCTCTATTATTCCTTTTTTTAGGCTTTTATAGTTTTCATGAAATAGATCTTTTACGTCTTTGGTTAGGTTAATTCCTACTTTATTTTTTTGAGGTTATTGTGAATGGGTTGTTTTCTTGATTTCCCTTTCTGCTTGTACATTGTTGGTATACAGAAAGGCGACTGATTTTTGTGGGTTAATTTTGTATCCTGCTACTTTGCCAAAGTGATTTATAAGTTCTAATCGTTTGGGGATGGAGCTTTTGGGATCATTAAGGTATAATCATGTCATCTGCAAAAAGAGATAGTCTAACTTCTTCCTCCCCTATGCAGATCCCTTTAATGTCTTTTTCCTGCCTTATTGCTCTGGCTAAGGATTCCAGAACTATATTGAATAGGAGAGGAGAGAGTGGGCATCCTTGCCTTGTTCCTATTTTTAGGGGAATTGGTTGTAGGTTTTCCCCCATTAAGTATGATATTGGCTATTGGTCTGTCATATAAGGCTTTTATTTATTTTTGGGGGGGGGGGGTCCGGTCGTGGGGCCTGAACTCTGGGCCTGGGTGCTGTCCCTCAGCTCTTCAGCTCAAGGCTAGCACTTTACCACTTGAGCCGCAGCACCATTTCCAGCTTTTTTCTTTTTGCTCATGTGGTGCTGAGGAATTGAACCCAGGGCCTCATGCATGCAAGGCAAGCACTCTACCACTGAGCCCCAAGGCTTTTATTGTTTTAAGGAATGTTCTTTCTATTCCATTTTTTTCCAGAACTTTTAACATGAATGAATGTTGTATTTGATCAAAAGCCTTTTTTGCGTCGATGGAGATAATCACGTGGTTCCTCACCTTGGATCTGTTGATGTGATGTAAACCATCCCTGTATCTCTGGGATGAAGCCTATTTGGTCATAATGTATGATTTTTTGAAATGTTACTGGATTCTGTTGGCTAAAAATTTATTGAGGAGCTTTGCATCTGTGTTTATCCAAGAGATTGGTCTGTAGTTCTCTTTTTTGGTTGGGTCTTTGCCTGGTTTGGGGATGAGTGTGATATTGTCTTCATAGAATGAGTCTGGGATTACGCCCTCTGCATTTATTTCTCTGAAGAGCTTGAGCAGTATGGGTATTAGTTCCTCTTTAAAGATCTTACAGAATTCCGTAGTGAATCCATCTGGTCCTGGGCTTTTCCTTGTGGGAAGGTTTCTTATTGCTTCCTTTATCTCACTATCTCATTGTAGGTTATTGCATAGTTAGTTATTTCTTCTTGGTTCAGTTTGGGCAGTTTGTATTTCTCTAGAAATTCATCCATTCTGCTAGATTTTCCTTCCTTGGTGAGTATAGAGTCTGGAAATATTTCTTTATAATTGTTTGGATGTCTTGAATGTTTGTTGTAATTTTTCCTGTGGCATCTTTAATCTTATTGATTTGGGTCTCTTCTCTTCTTTTTTTAGTTAATCTTGCTAGTGGTCCATCAATTTTATTGATTTTTTTTGAAAACAGCTTTTTGTTTTATTAATTTTATTTATAGTTTTCTTAGTCTCTATCTTAATTTCAGCTATTATTTTGGTTATCTCACTCCATCTAGCGACTTTAGGTTCAACTTTTTCTTGTGTCTCTAGCAGTTTTAGTTGCATCATGAGATTGTTTATTTGGTCTGTCTCTGTTTTCTTGATATGTGCACTGAGAGCAATAACCTTGCCCCTCAGGCATGCTTTCACTATGTCCCATAGGTTTCTTTGTGATATGTCTTCATTTTCATTGAATTGTAGGAACTTTTTAATTTCTTCTTTAATGTCTTCTGTGACCCTTGTGTTGCTCAGCAGTGTGCTGTTTAATTTCCATGTGTTTGATTTTTTTCTACTGTATGCCTTGTTGTTGAGAACTAGTTTGATTCCATTATGGTCAGATAAAATACAGGGGATTATTTCGATCTTCTTTGTTGTTGTTGTTGTTTTTGTTGTCAGTTATGGGGCTTGAACTCTGGACCTGAATGCTGTCTCTCAGCTCTTCAGCTCAAGGCTAGCACTCTACCACTTGAACTACAGACCACTTCTGGTTTTCTGGTGGTTTATTGGAGATAAGAGTCTCACAGACTTTTCTGTCCGGGCTGGCTTTGATCCTCAGATCCTGAGGTCCTCAGATCTCAGCCTCCTGAGTAGCTAGAATTACAGGGGTGAGCCACCGGCGCCCAGCTTTAATCTCCTTATATTTGCTTAAATTATTTGTATGAGCTAAGATATAATCTATTTTAGAATAAGTTCCATGGGCTGCTGAGAAGAATGTCTACTGGGGTTGTTGTTGGGTGGAAAACCTGCTATGTCAGTTAAGTCTATTTGAGAAATGACATTATTTAATTCAGAGACTTCTTTGCCAATTCTTTGGTTGGTGGACCTGTCCTTTGGTGGCAGTGGAGTATTAAAGTCTCCTAATGCCGGGTGCTGGTGGCTCATGTCTGTAATCCTAGCTACTCAGGAGGCTGAGATCTGAGGATTATGGTTCAAAGCCAGCCTGGACATTAAAGTCCATGAGACTCTTATCTCCAATAAACCACTAAAAAAATAGGAAGTGGCGCTGTGGCTCAAGCGGTAGAGTGCTCACCTTGAGCACAGGGATAGCTAGCACCCAAGCCCAGAGTTCAAGCCCCATGACCGACAAAAAAAAAAGTCTCCTAGTATTATTGTATTTCCTGTAAATCTGAGAGTAGTTGCTTAACATATTTGGGTGCGCCAATGTTTGGGGCATATAGATTTACAATGGTGATGTCCTCTTCTTGGATTGTTCCCTGTATTATTATATAGTGACCTTCTTTGTCTTTTCATAGTGATTTTAGTGTAAAGTTTATTTTATCAGATATCATAATGGCAACTCCTGCCTTCTTGCTGGGAGCATTTGCATGGTAGATCTTTCTCCATCCCTTCACTTGGAGTTTGCTTTTATCTTTGGCTATGACGTGAGTCTCTTGAAGACAGCAAATTGATGGATCTTGTTTTCTGATCCAATCTGCTGTTCTTTTTCTTTTGATTGGTGAACAGAGTCCATTAATATTTATGGTTATTATAGAGAGGTATATTGTATTTCCTGTCATTTTATACTTTCCTAAGTTTTTCTTCTTTCCTTTCCTCCTGTGTTTACTAAGTTGGTCTCCTAACGACATCTATCTGGTCTGGATTCCTGTTCTTGAATGCTTTCTTTGGATTGTAGTCCCACTCTTAATATTCTTTGTAATTCTGACTTATTATTTATGAATTCATTTAATTTTTCTTTACTATTAAAAATTTTAGTTTCTCCCTCGAATGTGAATGCTAGCTTTTCTGGATATACCAGTCTAGGCTGGCTGTTGTTGGTTCTCAGGGCTCAGATGGTACTTTTCCAGGCTTTCCTTGCATTCAGTGTCTGTGTGGAAAGATCTGCGGTGATTGTACTTTTTTTTTTCCATTGTAGTATAGCTCCTTCTTTACTTTTACTGCGTGCAAGATTGTTTCTTTCTTGTTAAAACCTAGCATTTTTACTATAATGTGCCTTACAGTGTTCCTCCTGGGATCTTGCTTGTTAGGTGTTCTGTAGGCCTCTGTTATGTAGGTAAGATTTTCTCATTTTAAGACTGGGGACGTTTTCAGTGATGATCTTATTGAATAAGTATTGCACTCCCTTATTCTGGTATTCCTCCCCTTTGTCCACCTCAAGTATACAAAGGTTAAATTTCTTGGCACTATCTGCTTGTTCTTGGGCTTCCCTTTGGCATGTTTTGAATGTTTCTTCCATATCCATCACTTCTTTTTCCAGTGCCTGCAATTTGTCTGCACTATCTGATATTCTATTTTCCATTTCATTTATTCTATTAACTGTGGCTTCCATTGTGGTTTGCATGGAGGAAATTGAATTTTGCATGGAAGAGATTGAGCCATTTATAATTTATAGAGTATTAATCTCATCTTTTAGCAAGGTGTGTACTGCATCTATTTTTGAGTGCATTTCTTGTTTGAAGCCCTGGATCTCTTTTGATAGTTCGTTCCTTTGTTCTTTAAATTTCTGATTTATTTCTCATTTTAATTCTTGAGTCATTCCCTGTATCATCTCTTGGATGTAGCGTTTGTCTTCCATTTCTTTTTCGTTTCCACTGGCATTCTCCCCTGGGTGGTTGCTGGCCTTTGAGTCTGGTTTACTGTCTTGGCTGTTGATGAATTTTGTAATTTTTCGCTGGGATTTTTGCATATGGATTCAGGAATTGTTGGAGACCAATTACAGGCCCTGATTGTTTTGGTCACTAGGTGGCTACCTTTGCTTGGGTCTGGATTTGTTCTTGGATCAATTGATGTAGCTTGCTCTGGGCACTGGGCTGGTTGAGAGCATTTTACCTGGGCGGAGGATCTGTTGTGGGAGGAGTTGCTTTCCAGCTGCTGGTCTGACTCACATAGGGCTTACTCCTGTTAGTCTGTGGTGGGCAGACACACTCTGCCCTCTGCTGGGGTGTGCACTCAGATCCTGACCAGTCAGAGGCAGGCAGTGAAGATGACTAGGGTTCCTGCTTATCCTGGTATTGGTTAGGCGCTGTCCAGCGGTGCTGTGGCAGATCGCTGGTCTTGTGCACTGTAGGTTGCTGTTCAACATTGTGTTCCCTGTTTGTTGAGATGAAAGTGGGCTATTCTGGGTGGTGGTGCAGGCTGGGTCTGTGTTTCACAGCCTTTACCACTGTTTATGCTGTCCCGTTTGGTGTTATGGGTCTGGGGTTTCTCTCCGCTGCTGCCCCGCTATGGGCTGGACTGCTTGCACGGGCCAGCCAGGGAGGGGCAGGGTTGCACTGCGAGTCTCGGGTCCTTTGCTACTGCTGCCACCATCTCTGCTGCCGCTGCTGTTCCGGGCTGGGGTTGCTTACACGAGACTGTGTAGAGAGGCACCACATGGCACTGCACGTCTGGGGTCGTTTGCTGTCCCCATCACAGTCACCACCATCCCCAGCTGGGTTGGATTGCTTCCACGGACTAGGGGTGGGGGAGGCGGGGAGAGGCACCAGGGACCTAGGGTCATTTGTAGCTGCTGCCACCACCCCACCACAGCTGCCACGGCCACCACCCCAGGGCTGGGCTGGGCCACTTATGCAAGCCAGTGCAGGGAGGCGCTGGGCCTCGCAGCGAGTTTGGGGTTGCAAGTCTGGGATCCTTTGCTACCACCGCCGCAGTCACTGCAGCCCCGAATTGGGTTGGGTTGCTTCTGGGGGCTAGGAGAGAGAGATGCAGGGCCGGGAGTCTAGGGTCGCTCACCACTGCTGCCGCCGCTGCTGTCCCATTGCAGCTGCCACTGCCACCCCGGGCTGGGCTGGGCTGTTCCCACGGGCTGGTGCAGAGATTGGAGACGTTCCTGGCCCAGAGCAGGGCTGGGCTGTGCTATTCCCGCAGGCCGACGTGGAGAGGCGGTGTGCTGCCTATCTGGGGTGGTCACCAGCTGCCACTCAGGGCTGGGCTGCGCGCAGGCCGGGCCAAGGCTATGCGCCATGGAGAGGTCTCTGTGCGGGTTCTGCCGTCCGAGTTTTCTGTGTGTATTCTCCAGGTCGGCACTGGCTCTTGGGAATCCTCCAGGAGCCTTGGGATGCTTGCGGCTCTGTGGTCCCTGGTGGGTCCTGAGCCGGGTCGCTTAGGAGGCTCAGCTCAGAGCCCCGCCGGCAGCAAGGGGTGGGGAAAGGGTCTTCCTACTTTATTGTCTTTGTGTAGGGTCTGGAGTTTTTCCTTTTTCTTTTCTTTTTTTTTTTCCCACTTCCTGTGTCTTCAGAGTAATTGCCTTTTTGTTGTTGTTGGTCTTTTGAAGAAATGCAGCGTTGAAACCCGACCTCTATTTGGTTGAAGAGAGCTGCAGGTGTTTCCCTACTGTTACATCTCCCCCCCCCCCCCCCCAATGTTCATCTTCAACACAGTGTCTTGCACATCTCATTGCCACAATGGATCAACCTGTATCCTTATTTCAACATTTTGTTATTTCCCTTACCCTCCCCAAGAAACAATGTTTTGGAGTTTAGGATTTGTTGTTGTTGTTGTTGTTTTTTGTCAGTCATGGGGCTTGAACTCTGGGCCCGGGCTCTGTCCTTCAGCCCTTCAGCTCAAGGCCAGCGCTCTACCACTTGAGCTACTGTGCCACTTCCTCTTGCTAACTTCTTAACTATTATCTTCCCATTCCTGCCTCTTGATTTTTTGAGATTATAGGAGTACAATACAGAAGTTTATTCTTCTGACAGCTTCAAACTACATTAGGAATTTTGATGATTCTGAAATATTCCCTTTACAGAAGCTCTACAGTGACAGAAGCACTTCTTATTTTGGAAGCAGAAGAGACTAAGTCCAAGTGACAGTCGAAGTGTTTGCTCTAGAATTTTATCCCCTACTCTCTGCTCTTCTTTGCGTATGGAACATATTGGGATATATTGGGTCAAAGTGGCAGCTATTGAGATGTCAAAGTAGAAATATCTGCCAAAAAAATAAATAAAATTCATTCCGCAACTTGGAATAGAACTTCAATGGTTGAAGTCTGAAACACATTAAGATTGCTAGCCTTGTGTGTAAATGGATGGAAGTCACACATAGCAGAGTCTATTTATCACTCTCAGGTGTAGCCTTCATCCTCTCCAGTTGGGGATGGAAACATTGCTCCTACACCTTCCCCTTTGCCAGCTCTCTCCTGAGGTCATCTCTGCAACCTCACCATCCTGGGAAGGGAAAGGTCCAGGCAAACCAGCATGGACAGCAGTACATAAGATCAGCTGCAAGATACCATCACACAGTCATCCTCAGAGCAACTCTTCCATCTTTTCCTTTTCTTTCTAGCTACTGAGGCTCTAGTATTCTTTGCCAATAAAGACAGGTGTACCTGCACGGAAGGCAGGAAGGTGGTCCTAATTACCAAGCTCCCCCTCTCTTTCAGATCCCCCTGTGTGGGCCACTATGAATAAAAACAGATGACATCAGACTGCAGCCAAAGCAAACACAAAATGAGCATTCGGGACGCATGTTAAAAGGTGTAGATCAAGGACCTGGACAGAGGAGGGGATGAGGAACAGGGGACAGAAGGGAAAGTGGAAGGCCTGGTCAGTCCTGGTGATGGCACTGCCCAGGAGGCCTAGTGCTCAGGGGAACAGAGCCCTCTCTGTTGTGCAGGGCTGTGGACCTCACACTCTGCATGCAGCTTATGTCCCTCATGTTCTCTTTCCCTTAGGTCTACACGGGCCCCCCTCACTGACACATCTTGGAAAGTATTCTTCTCTACACTCAAGGACAGCGAAGGGTTGATGGAGCTGGACCTAAGTGGAAACCTGTTGAGTTACTCTGCAGTGCAGAGTCTTTGTGACACACTGAGACACCCACATTGCCACCTGCACACCTTGAGGTGAGTCAGGGTGTGGCTGGGTTCTCCCTGAAGGAGGAATATTGAAAGCAAAGGCTGAGAGTAAGACCTCATCTCAGTATTGGTGGAAGGAAAAACAGACATACATGAGTTGAAGGAGATTTCCTTTAGGCTCTTTACTTCTGCACAGAGGGGTGCACTGTCTGTCTCCCTATATTGAGGAGGGCTGGTCTGCTCAGGTTTTTATTCTAACCCAAACTGTGACATTGATCATGCTCTTTGTCAGTAAGGAGTCAGCCTCATGCCCTATTTACAATCAGTTGTTAGGGTGATAGGTTAGTATAAAGTAGTTAGAAAGCATTCTAACCTTCAATAAAATGTTTTCACTCAATGAAAGTCTATCTCATCAGGGCTGGCTGGGAACAGAGCTAAAAACAGGCACCTTAGCAACAGTGTTAGCATTACAGAAGGCTGGCTGGGACCCTGTGACACCAGGATTCAGGGAAATAATGGCTAAGAGCTCTTTCCACACAGGGAAGGAAAGGAGCTACCCAGAGAGAGGATCACACAGGACCAGAGATCCCACTGTCCCTTTGAACTTTGATGTCAAAACAAAAATGCAAACATTGCTGTCAAAGATGGCAGACTCCAGACATTAAGCCACAATCACAGGACCTTCTTAGCACCAGCCCCTGTGCAATGATTGTACAGGCCATAGATCCATAAAAATGATCCTCCTCTTCTCATGCATTCTCTCTCAGTAAGTGGCAGAAGCTTCAATTCTGTATCCAGTCTAAAAGATTCCCTTGCTTCCACACTTACAGGCTCATTTAGTGCAGTGGTCTCCAGGGTCATCCACACACAGCTATGGTTCCAACTTTGTGTTCATTCTCCCACCAGAAGCACCTGCTTTCTCCTTTGCTCCATCCAGGATCCTCTACTCACAGTCAGAAATCTTTTCAGTTAATACCAAGATCCTCTCACACAGTGTCCATGATCTTGCTGGCACTCATCAATGCCACCTCAACAGGCTCCAAATGTCTTCTAGGAAGTGGCGCTGTAGCTCAAGTGGTAGAGCGCTCGCCTTGAGCTGAAGAGCTGAAGGACAGCGCCCAGGCCCAGAGTTCAAGCCCCACGACCGACCAAAAAAAAAAAGTCTTTTAATGACATCTAAAATGGACCACTCAAAGAGTTCTCAAGATGGCGACGGGGCAGTAGGGAAACGCCACAGCTCTCTCCAACCAAAAAGAGAGTTCGAGTTCCAACCTTTAATCTCCCCAAGAGACCGACAACAACAAAAAGACGAACACTCAGAGAAAAACCAGAGGTGGAAAATAACAAAAAAAGAAAGAGAGGAAAAGAAGAATTTCAGAACAGAGAAGAGCGAAGACCCCTCCCCCAACCTTTACTGGCCGCGCGGCAGTGCGCCAAGCCGCCGGCCAGCCGGCCCGGCGGGGGCTGCCGGAGACACAGAGACACAGGGGGCTGCTTGCAGATCACCAGGTACCGGATTGCAGAACAGCAGATCGCCAGGAACAGAGAAACCTACCAGCCGGGAGTCTCCAGGAGGATCCCACCCCACCCATCACTCTCCACCGGAGCGGAGAGGCTCCATCCCGCCAAAGCCGCCGGCACAAGCAGCGCCACAAAGGGACCTGTCCGCAGAACACCTGCCCAATCGCGATCGCAACGACCCGGCGGGGGGCCGCCCAACCCAGCCCGCAACCACCCCAACTGAACTCGGACTGCAACAACAACTGACGGACTGCAACAACAACTGACGACCTACAGGGTGAGTACCCATCAGGGGACAGGGAATCCATCAAGGGAGACCAGAGCTGGAGGGAATCCCCAGACCCTGACCTAGACTCCCTACCCCAACACCCGGACCACAGGACCCACTAAAACTGGGAACTGTTCGAGAGCCCCACCAGCCGGTGGAGCACACTCTGCTGACCAGGCCAGAGCAAGAGCGCCCCGGGAAGGGAGCTTAAATGCTCAAGCCAGGAACAGTGCCCCTGGGTCAAGACTACCAACAGTAGAAGAAATTTGAACTGTGTCCTCCAGGCTGCATAACCAAGGTGGTATACACATTAGCACAGGCCTAACGAGCGCGCTCCAGGCTGGGGCCGGAACCAGGCCAGGGGACCGGCGCCTGAACAAAGCAAAAAGGGTCAGAAGTGGGGCTGTGGCTCAAATGGTAGGGTGCCAGCCCTGAGCTGAAGAGCTGAGGGACAGCACCCAAACCTAGAGTTCAAGCCCACAACCAGCCCAAAACAAACAAACAAAAACACATCAGGAGCCCATAGCAGACTCCAGTATTTGGGAGAGTGCATCCAGAGCATCTGATCTTCCCAAGAGCACCCGCAGGAGCAAACACAAGCAGTCTAGGCTGCTCAACCCTTCCAAAGGCGGGAATTGCTACAGCAGAGAGCTGAGAATCCTAAGTGAATAGCAGCTGGAAATAGGCTCCCAACAGAATCCAGATCAGACACAGACTCTCTCTACCAATAGAGAATCAGCAACCAAGCAAAGACAGACACACCAAAACAAGATTGAAGAGCAGTCTCCTGAACCCCCATGCGAAAATCACAGAGAAAAATCACAAGGTTTACCACTACCCAGGACAGCAAGCTAACCTCAAAAGCCAGCAGCCACGCAGGGGAGAGCCCCAGTGGGAGCAAAGCAGGAATGGAAGACAAAAACTACATCCAAGGGTTGCTGGAGGCAATGACTCAAGAAATAAAGTGAGAAATGGATCAGAAATTGAAAGAGCACAAGGATGAACTATCAAAAGATATACAGGACATCAAACAAAAGTTGGATGCAAAAATAGAAGCGGCACAAACCTCAGTAAGAAGTGAGATAAACGCCAAATTAGAGGTAATGCATACTGATCTCACCTCATTGAGAGGTGAGATCAGTACTCTGAGAACCAACATTGAATCCATAAAGGGATCCATTTCCACCATGCAAACCACAATAGAAGCCACGGTCAACAGAGTGAATGAAATGGAAGGTAGAGTGTCAGATACAGAAGACAGAATACACCAACTGGACCAAAAAGTGACAGATATGGAAAAATCACTCAAATTAAACCAAAGGGAAATTCAAGAGCAAGCAGATAATGCTAAAAAATTTAACCTTCGCATAATCGGAGTGGACGAAGGTGAGGAATTCCAGAGCAAGGGAATGCAACACCTATTTAACAAGATAGTCAATGAAAATTTTCCCCACCTCAAAAACGACCATCTTAACTACATCACAAAAGCTTATCGAACACCCAACAAGCAAGATCCCGGGAGAAACACTTCTAGGCACATTATAGTAAAAATGATGGATCTGAATAATAAGGAAACAATCCTGCATGCAGCAAAAATGAAGAAGGAGCTATATTACAACAGGAAAAAAATTAGAATCACTGCAGATCTCTCCACACAAACAATGAATGCAAGAAAAGCCTGGGAAAGCACCATATGAGCCCTGAGAGCCAATAACTGCCAACCCAGACTGATATACCCGGCAAAGCTAGCATTCACATTCGATGGAGAACTGAAAACTTTTAATAGCAAAGAAAAACTAAATGAATACATAAACATTAAGCCAGCATTACAAAGAATTCTAAGAGGGGGGACACAACCTGAAGAAAGCAACCAGGAACTGGGACCTGCCCCAAACAGGCATTACTCAAAGTCTAACTGAGCAAGCACAGGAGGAAAGGAAAGAAGAAAAACTTAGGAAAACGGAATGGCAGGGACAACAATGCATCGCTCTATACTTTCTCTTAATATAAATGGGCTGAATTCGCCAATTAAAAGAAAACGAACTGAGGACTGGATCAGAAAACAAGACCCATCCATCTGTTGCCTTCAGGAGACCCACCTCTCAGCCAAACATACAAACAAACTCAGAGTGAAGGGGTGGAAAAGGATCTACCAATCAAATTCCCCCAATAAGAAAGCAGGTGTAGCTATCCTGATATCTGACAAAATAAACTTTTCATTAAAATCAGTACAGAAAGACAAGGACGGACACTACATATTAATAAAGGGAACAATCCAAGAGGAGGATATAACCATCATCAACTTATATGCCCCAAATATCGGTGCACCCAGATATGTTAAACAAATGCTCTCAAACTTACAGAATAAAATAGATCCCAATACGATAATACTAGGAGACTTTAACACGCCACTCTCACCAAAGGACAGGTCTACCAACCAGAGGATTGGCAAAGAAGCTACCGAATTAAGTGAGGCCATACTTCAAGCGGAATTAACTGACATCTACCGAGTATTTCACCCTAAAACAACACAGTACACATTCTTCTCAGCAGCTCATGGAACTTTCTCCAAAATAGACCATATCATAGTTCATGCAAGGAACTTAAGCAAATACAAAGGGATCGACATAATCCCCTGTATCCTATCTGACCACAGTGGAATCAAGCTAGCTCTCAATAACAAAGCATACCGCAGAAATTTCTCTAATACATGGAAATTGAACAGCACACTCCTTAACAAGGCCTGGGTAACAGAAGAGATCAGAGAAGAAATAAAGCATTTCCTAGAACTCAATGAAAATGAAAACACCTCACAAAGAAACTTGTGGGACACAGCAAAAGCAGTCCTGAGGGGCAAATTTATTGCCCTCAGTGCCCACATCAAGAGAATGGAGACAGACCAAGTAAATAATCTCATGTTGCAACTAAAACAGCTAGAAAAACAAGAAAAAATGGGACCTAAAGCTACTAGACGAAGCCAGATAACCAAATTGAGAGCAGAGATTAACCAATTAGAAAATCAGAAAACCATAACCAAAATAAACCAAACAAAAAGCTGGTTCTTTCAAAAAATAAACAAAATTGATGGCCCGTTGGCAAGATTAATTAAAAAAAGAAGAGAGGAAACCCATATTAATAGGATTAGGGATGCCACGGGAAACATCACAACACGTACCCAAGATATCCAAACAATTCTAACAGACTACTTTCAAAAGCTATACTCTCTAAAGGAAGAAAATCTGGCGGAAATGGATGCATT